CTTTGGCTTGTGACAGTTGCCAGGATCGCTTAAGAGTTAGAGATTGAAGCCCCGGTGCGTTTGGATCCCTTAAAAGTTTGCGATTGAAGCCCGCGTGCGTTTGGATCCCTTAAAAGTTTGCGATTGAAGCCCAGATGCATTTGGATGGTTTTGGAGCGTGCGATAGCTCTGACCGGTATAAAGCCTGGCGAGAAAGCTGCAAATTGACAAAGGGTTGGTTTTGGTTTTTTTTTTTTACGCTAGGAGGAGGAACTTTGAGAATATTTTGGAGGCGTTCGGCTCCCGCTCGGTCTTTCTCTTGGCGTTTAGAAGCGCGAGAGCAGCTGGGCTGACAGCCAGGGCCCGTTTAGCCCAGCGCCCTGCCCTGGGAAGATGTGCTGCCTTGCTGGGGAGGGAACCCCGTTCTCCTTCTCCTCCTTCTTCTCCTTCTCCTCCTCTTCCTCCTCCTCCTCCTCCTGGTATCCAAGCTCACCACCTCTCCCAGACCTCACCCTTATTTCTCGCTGCTGTAGCTGGCTTCTCCTCAAACGCTCGCGTCCCGTTTACCGGCCGCGGCAAGCTGCCGGCCGCTGCCTGATGCCCCCAGCGCGATTTGGGTTTTGCGGAGGTGCTGGCCAAAACGTCGCCCGGTTGAGGGTGAGCCGCGCAGCTGGGCCGGCTGCTTCAGTGCGGGGCGAGCTGCCCTTTCCTGAGTCGTGAATCCCAGCGGAGATCCTTGCTGGAGGACGGGCAGCGCTCTGTCCAGAGTGCCTCGCGAGGGGTAGGGAGGGATGAGAAAAAGTCCTCCTGGAAACCTAAGGGAGCTTTCCTGTGGCAGATGTATACCTGGAAGCGGAAAAAAAAATCAGTTTACCTAATGAAAATGATGTGTTGTTTCATGCTTTGCGCTTTTTCTTCAACAATTTGCTGCTATCTTTTATGAGTTCGTTCGGTTTTCGCATTTAAATACCCCGTTGGGGCGACGGGTCGATCCATAACCCGTTGCACATGAGTAATGCTTTGCTGCATGCCTTTCTGCTAGGACGTATCCGAGAAAAGATTACTCATAGAAATAGCAGCTTAGAAAACGCCTCTTGTTGTAGACGTTACCTCGCATTGCCTTGGTAGAAACCAGTTCAGGCTGTGCCGTTTTTTTCCGTGCTGGAAGCGCTGTAAATGCGCAGGTGGCAGCCGTCGCTCTGGGAGAGGGGATTCGTGTATAAACAGCGGCAAGCGGCGCGGCGTTCCTGCTCGCATGCCGAGATAAGCCCACTGGAGTTTTTCTCCCTTGTTGGTTGTCCTTCCAGGTTTGTACAAGAAGTCTGGAAAACTTGTGTTCCTGGGTTTGGATAACGCAGGCAAAACCACTCTGCTGCACATGCTGAAAGACGACAGGCTGGGTCAGCACGTCCCGACACTACATCCCAGTAAGTCTGCCAGCGCCCGAGCCCCGCCTGCCTCGCGGCGTGCTTTTCCCTCTCAATTTTGGGGACGCGGCATTGAAAGATGCCTCGGCGATAGCTCTGCGTTGGGGCGACCGACTTTTAAGAGTCTTAAAAGCCCACCCGAGCTTGCAGTCGCGCGTCAGTTGCCCGAGCTGAAGAAGATTTGCGTTTTCCCCTCAAAGATGAAATGGAGAGCCCGAGAACTGGCACGGTTCAGTTACTACGACGTGCCTGTCCTGGGGAGGGAGTGGGTTTCTAATGAAAAATGTACGTGTGATACTGCAGGTGAATAAGCATGTGCTTAAGTGGGGAGGCAGGAGAAATTATTTTCTCCCGCTCGTGATTTTGTGAAGCGACTCCCTTCCGGTGGCTGGCTTCTCCAGGAAATTGGGAGAATTCCTGAGTTCTGCAGGATATCTTATATGAGGAGGGGGTGTGATGTTAACAAGCACCCCCAAGAAATTCTGTCCGTGACAGCTTCTTTATTTTCCCGCAACACGGCCATGTATTTTTACTTTTCAGCATCAGAGGAGCTGACGATTGCTGGAATGACCTTTACGACTTTTGATCTGGGTGGACATGAACAAGGTAAAAGGGAAGGTGCCGAGTGGGAGCCACCAAATGAGGTTCATTTTCCCATTCCGATGACGTTCTTCAGCCGCCTTAAGAAAAATCTACCAAAAAGCGATACTGGGAAGCGATTGCAGTCGGCAACGCCAAATTATTTGTTGCCTGAAATTGTTTATGGAACGATGCGTGGAAATAATCTCCTGGCTCTAGGGTACCAGTTGTTTCAGTGGTTTAATGCTTCTGCTTAATTCTGGCAGTTTGGGGAGGGGGGGTGGGGGAATGCTGCCAGTTCATGCTCTGCTGCCTGAAATATTTTTAGCTGTGGAAGACTTGAATGTCATGAGCTTATTCTTTTGAATAATCGCTGCATTTTTATTTTTAGACTTTCTAGAAGTTCTGAGTAAAGATTTTCTGCCCTTTTTTTTTTTTTTAAATACACAAAAACATCGGAAGAAAGACACCCTGGCTAAAAAGCAGCCTCGATGCCGAGGCTTTCTTAGGAAAGCAGAGAGAGCGTAACCGGCTCTTGGAACTGCCTGGCTTGCGGCCTCAGCCAGTCCCTTCACCAGAAGGTCATACGCTGCCCTGAGGAAACGATAACGAAGAGGGTGGCTCCCGCTTTTGGGTGTAGTTTTCCCATCGCTTCAGGTAGCGTTTTCACAGGGCTGCATTTGTTGCTTCTGTGTTCCAGCTCGCCGGGTCTGGAAGAACTACCTGCCGGCCATCAACGGGATCGTCTTCCTGGTAGACTGCGCAGATCACTCGCGTCTTATGGAATCCAAAGTTGAGCTTAATGTAAATGCACTTTAATTTTTTTTTTCCTTCCCCAGGACCTCTGAAGAGCTAAATTATAAATAATACTCTTCTTTTTTTTTTGGCTGGAACTCGTGTGCAGCGCGTTTTGAGAGTCTCGTGCTTTGGATTTGCACTTCCAGCGCACCTTCTTTACGCCAGCGATGCGGTGTCCCACAGCGTGCGCTGATAGGAATTTGCATGTTGCTTTACGCAGGGACTGGCTCAGTGTGGATTTATAAGTGTACTCTCCCAGAGCTGGAGAAGCCTGGGTGCCCTTACTGTGGGTCGACTGTAGGCTTTTGAGCAGCTTTTGAAGAAGTTTTGGTGGGTTTAGGTAGGAGCTGCGTCTGAGAAACCTTTCCAGAGAAACTCCTGTTTCGCAAGAGCACTGTAGCACCAAAAAAATAGCCCTTGTTGGTCACAGAGCTTAAACAAAAACATTTTCTTCAAATGGTGAATGTTTGGGGTTTTCTGCCTCTGCTTAACTCTTCTTTTGTCTCGCACGCAGGCGCTAATGACAGATGAAACAATATCCAACGTGCCAATCCTTATCCTGGGTAACAAAATCGACAGACCGGAGGCCATCAGTGAGGAGAAACTGCGGGAGATCTTTGGGCTCTACGGACAGACCACGGGAAAGGTAGGGAGGCATCCAAATCCTGGATTGTCTGCAAGCGAGGGAGTGCTTGCGTCTTTCACCGCAGAAGGAGGCTCCATCTGGAAGCTGATTGAGGTGTTACTGTGAATTTGTCCATGCTATCGACTGAGCTGAATCTTTAATAATAATAATAACACCCTCGGGCAGGTTTTGAAACTGCCAGAATTGTGCAAAACACGGTGCCTCGACAACAATTAGGTAATTAGGTGGTATTTTAACGCGTCATCTGACTCTTCTGGTATCGTTGCTCTGCATTTCCATCCAGTTACCCACCTAACCGTTTTTTCAGTGTTTAAAAACAGTCCACTTAAGAAAGAATCGATCGCAAACGCCGGGTGACGGTCGTAAAACGCTGCGAGGCTGCTTCCTTGCACTAGCTTACCCCAGGCGGTGACGATGGCTGCTCGTGTCGCGCTGCCGCGCTTCGCAGGTGCGCCGTGCCGTGCCTCAGAAGCCGTTTGCTTCGGTGTTTTTTAACGCCCGTTCTCCTGCGCTGCTGGCTCCCAAAGTCCCGTGGGCAGGTCCCCAGGTCCCTCTTGCTGGCGTGCGGCAAAGAGGGGAGACGCCCCGGGCGGAGAGGGGTTCCCCGAGAGGGCGGCGATCTGGTTGCCGCTTTCCCCGAGGGCGGCAGGGCCTGCGGTTCTGACTTCCCTTTTGGATTTCCCTAGGGAAACGTGCCGCTGAAAGACCTGAACGCGCGTCCCATGGAGGTGTTCATGTGCAGCGTGCTGAAGAGGCAAGGCTACGGCGAAGGCTTCCGTTGGCTATCGCAGTACATTGACTGATAACTTGGACATAAAATTTGAGTTTTACTCCGCTGGACTGATCCTGTTCACAGCTTCCTATGGACTTTTCTATTAGAACACGGAAGGCTTTCCAACCGCATACTGGCATTGAACCAAGAGACTCCTGGTTTTCGGCTGCCCTATCGCACAGTGGTGACACAACTCTTTTCCACGCGACGGGGAGACGGCACCGCTTCCGCACACGGGCGCAAGTTGTGCCTTTCAGTTGGGTTACGGCGGGGCTGGTGTGATCGGGGAAGAAAAAAAATCTGCAACGCTGCACTGTAACGGCTGAAAAAGAGAACACGTCTCACCACTGTGGTTAATTGACTTAAAAAAAGGAAAAAGCAATTCTATTTTTTAAAGAAAGTGTTAATGTAAACGGGCGTCCCTTCTAACTTTTTAGTTTAACGTTCATCTTGTTTAGTCCGGAGTCTGGTTAGGGTTTTTTAAAAATATATTTAACGATATTTAGGTATTTCACAAATTGCTGAACCAAGGTATCACGATATTAGAAGTCCTCAATAAACATAGCATTTGGGCTTAACCGAGCTGTAGGGTGGCTGTGCTGTGTCACGCTGACCGACGACAAAGAGGCTGCCGTCGGGACGGACGCGTGCGATCCGAGCTTCTTTCCTTTACGGGGATTTTTTTATTTTATTTTTTAGTTGGAGAGGAGCACCCGCGAGCACGCCTGGTTTAGGCGTTCGGACGCGGTGACCGGCGCTCGCTCCCGGTGGGACGAGCCGCCCGAGCGCGCCGCTTGCTTCCCCCTCGGCCGGGGACGTCGAATCCTCTCACTACGCTGTCACGGTGAGAACCGCGAAGCTGTTTTGGTTGGGG